TTTTTTTTTTTTTTGAATACGTGAAGCGTCGGAAGTTTTTTAGACGAAAAGCTCTTCCTGGTCGGTTGTTTTACGACGTAAGCTTTCAGGTATTCTTTGGATTGGTCGGATTTACAGTGCACAAAGGAATATGAAAAATATAAGCAATATTCACGTACTAAACTAATGGTTCATATGATGACGTTCAAATTAGCTCGTTTATTCAGTCATTCAGGAGTCACATGTAACGTTTTGGAACCAGGTGTCATTGAAACAAAGCTTTTACGGTGAGTCTAAGCAAATATTTCTCATTAGCAGTGGCTATTTCATTTAAATTTAAAATTTATTGCCTAAAATTATATTTTAATTCTGTCATTGTAGAGTAACAAAATTAGTCACTAACATTTGAAGAATGGTCCCTAAGAATGGTAATCTTAGTGAATGCATAGAATTTCAGTGCTGGTGGATATAGCGGAGCTCCAGTTGAGCAAGGCTCCCGAGCATCCATCTACTTGTGCACATCTGGTGATGTCACCAGTGTCAATGGTGCATACATTGATAATAGCTGCAAGAAAGTCACAAAATTATTCAAAGATTCTGTGAATGAAAAAGAACAAGAAGATTTGTGGCAAATAACTGAAAAATTGCTTGCTGATAAAAATATCAAATTTTGCGACTTCTGATTCTTGTGCTTCATTTGCGAATAGTAATTATTTTGTTGAATTGTTAACACCAAAATATGTTTAGATAGTATTTTTATTTTGGTATTTTTGATATCTTGTTAAATATATGGATTTGCAATTTCCTATTTAACTTTTTTTTTTTGATTTTTTAAACTCGCAAGTTGTTCATTTGTTAATAAGATTCAACACATGCCAGTTTTGTATCGAATTTTGTATTTTGTATTGTGCCGTCGAATAAAATGTTTCATTTTCTTATTCGTATGTATTAGGTGTATTCCGGCTTCATATGTCCTTAAAAAACTCGAATTCTTAATCAAATTGCTTTCATAAATTTGTTTTTTTGGAAAATTCCCGTGGGAATTTCAGCCAGTGTTCCGATGCTCGTAAAACATTTTGTGACTTTATCAGATAGAAAATCATTTTGTATATTGAGCAGACTCCTGAAACCGCTTTCAATTCAAAAGACCAAAATGGCAGGAAACAATGAATTTCTAACAGAAGTGCAGATCATAGAGAATGTCCACGACTCTCAATATATTCGTCCGATAAGAATGAAATTCAAAAGGGTAGGTGAAACTTGCCGTTATTCATGTGATTAAGTTATTCAGTTCAGCATTTTCGAGCCTACTTTTTTCTTAAAAGTGGGTCAAGGTACAATTCAGGATGTCATTATGCCTTAGCTAAATATTTTTTTCAGAATGGTAAACTCATCAAATGGGATCTTATGTTACGACATGATAGTGTTGCTTGTTTGTTGTTCCATAAGCAAAAAAAATCATTTCTGTTTGTCAAACAGTTTCGTCCAGGTTAGCTTCTTTTCACGGATATCTTTCAAGAATTGCATACGATACTGTATTGATACTTGTGATGGATTTTATTACTTTCTGTTTGGTGTTAAAGTAGCATGGACACGGTGCCCAAAGTGCACATGTATTATGCCCTAAAGTTATTGACAGTTTCATCAGGTAGATGTGCCAAAATCTTTTATTCTAGCTGTTTATGCTGTAAAAGTACGCAAAATGGAAGAAAACGCTAACAAAGCTTGGAATGAAATAAAGTGGGAAAAGTATCCGATTAGTATAGGTGAGACGATAGAATTATGTGCCGGTATTATTGATAAACCAAACGTCAGCTCACACAAACACATGCAGGAAGAAATTCTAGAAGAATGCGGTTATGAAGTAAACGAGAACGACATTCAAATGATAAAAACATATATGTGAGTACTTAATCATCAGATTTCTATATTTGCTTACATGAATTAATGGTGTCTTCAATCTTCAGAACGGGAGTAGGATCATCAGGTGCTAGTCAAGAACTGTTTTATGCCGAAATCGATGAGACGATGAAGATCAGTGAAGGAGGAGGAGTAGAATCAGAAAAGATCGAAAAGGTGACATTTTTTTCATAAAGTGCCATTTTGATTCTCATGTTTATTTTTGCTAGCAAGAAGCCCTCACCCATTGCCAAAAAAGTTCCTCGCGTAAATAGGCAAGTAGTTGATAACTGGCCGGCTTATTTATGTAGTAGTTCTGGCATTTATAATTTCACGGAATTCATAAGACCTGACACTCAATTTAAACAAGAACTGACTAGTAATCACTCCAGGTTTTCATGACAATACAAGAAGCACAGATGTATTGCGAACTGAAAGAAGTAACGAGCTCAACAGGTCTCCTTTATAGTTTGATGTGGTTTTTCAAGAATCGTCTGCCAAACATCATCTCTTGATGATACATATTTACGGAAATTTTGGAAATGTTAAAATTTGTTAGGAGATTCCTACTAACAGCAAAGTTCATCTTTGAAAAATTAAATAAATCCAAAAAGTTTTAAGTCTTATCTATTAAAAATTATAAAGTAAGGATAAAGGAAAACAATGGCAAAAATATGGGAATTTCTCCGAAGCAAAAGACACGTCTCCAAAGAATGCGAGTCATGCGTAATATTAACTTTAGAAATCTAAGTCAAAAAAAATTAGTTTTCAGTAAGTATGTAGTTCGCAAGAAACGAAAAGTCAGAGTTTAATCTCAAAACAGCTTATGAATAAAGGCAGTATTCAAAAGAAAGGATTAGCTCATTATATATCATACTGAACAGTAAAATAATTCTTGCGTTAATTGCAAATGATATACCAAACTCAAGGCACATAATATTTCGCTGACAGAACTTATAAGCAGAACAATATGAATGTATAAAATGATATACTGATACTAACAAGACTAGAAAGTATATTAAATCACATGCTAGAAGAATACTTTTTACATTAAAAAGATATATGCTATCCAATCAAAGCACTCAATAATTCCTGATTAAAGTAAGTTTAAAATCAAATCTCCCCAAATAAAAAATATTGAACGATTAAATCGAGAGTTTTTATTTGAGAAAATGTACTCTTAAATTCGTATGCCTCACAAAACTATTACTGTCAACAATTGAACAAGTTTCAATTAAGCCCATCCACCGGTCAATTTGTGGAAAAGATCTTCATTCAAATTCTGATTTTGTTCTTTGTTCCGTAGCGACAAAAATATGTAACCACCAATGAATTCATGGGCAACCTGAAAAATTAATGTTCTTTTGGCCAATTTTTCTTCTGCAATTTTTTAAAAACTAATTTTTTCAGAAGTGTACAGTGTTAGTGATTTTTTTTCGTAAGACAGTACAGTCGAAATGATAAGTCATCACTAATGCATTATTAAATAACCTTGCAATCAGCAGAAAGTGGCTTAAATTCGACATCTTCATCCTCGAATTGTATCTAGAAGTTTTCACATAGATTTCGATTCTGATTATAATGTATTTTTTTTGCCTCTTAGATAATGTTTTCAAACTAGAATTAAGTGGGATTTAGTCCATATCGGTTACACTTACAAAGTTTCAACGTTCATTTCGGATACATTTTTTATAAAGAGAACAAATTTTGTATCGAGCTCTTAAAATCTTTTCGGCGATGTCGATATATATTATCAGTGACCTACAACTTGATAAGAGTTTGTTTTCTTTGTCTAAACTACAAAAATTTTTTGGGAGCAAAATTGATTAGACTTCTCACTTTTAAATGTCGGATTTCCCAATTAACATGCCACTTTTTCATCGTTGAAAATCTCCATGTTTTTAAACTTTCCCCTGTATCTACGTTCATTCGCATTATTCTGTTGAAAGCAATGCCCATCAATTCGGATTTACGACTACTTCTAGAAACGAAATTTAGAACAAAAATATATTCTGCTTAATTAGAACCGTTTTTTAAAAACATTCGAGACAACATATTTTATTTAATTAGAAGGATCGAAAAACGAAATGGCCCGAACACAGATTAACAAAAAAAAGATACCTGAAGCGAACTATAAAATAATGGGTGCCATGCTCCGGTAGTGCTTCCCATGCTCTTATGTACTGCAACTTCGCTTCAGTACTTGATAGGTTGCGAAGATTTGAATGCGCTTCCGCAATTCTTTGTTGAAGCTGTAAATATGATTTTACTCGAAAATTAAAGCGAAAATGTTAAAATTTTTAGTATTATAAACGTAAAAAATGTATAAACACTAACAAGCAGATACAATAAGATATTACATCGACTGGTGCATCCGAAGCATATTTTCCATAGAAAACATTAAAAACACATATCTAACATTTTCAAACACAATTTAGGCTTAATAAAATGTCGAAAATATCACACAGACAGTATATTTAGTTAGAAATTATGAACCATAATTAATTGGAGTTTCAAATGCTGTATTGATGAAAAGAGCTTACAGCCTGCTTTGAACGAGCTCTGCGAGCATATCTTTGAGAAACAAATTCGTCGACATTGAAGTCTGGAGGGAGCTCTACAGATGGGTAGTTTTTCGCTGCATTATTTTGCACTCCTGCAAAAAAATATCTCTAAAATTCCTCATCCTTCTGAAATCTAATTAAACATTACAAGTTTCAAAAAAATATATTCAAGCTAACCAAATTATTAATGGAATGTCCTAGTTTTTGAATAACCCTGTACAATGCAATTTACAAAAATGAAAAATCCACAGATATGCTGCAAGAGAAGTAAACTATATGAAATAATAATTGGAATTTGTAGATGCAATAACCTCCAGATTGCATTTGCAATAGTTTTTTAATAGAGTCAACTTCCAAGTTATAGCTTGCATCAGCCATAGTTTTTCCACGCGAAGCAAGACGACAAGCTGCCATCCAACGAGCATATTGATGCTCCTTAAAAGCAAAAACAATTCTGATCCAAATAACATACTGATCAAAATTCAAAATTTAAATAAAATGCAGACATATGTATTAAAAAGGCAGTATAGACCAAATTTTTAATTTTGAAAATTTGGTTACACAAAAAAGCTCACTGTGTCACATTTCAAAATCATTTCGCTCATTCCTTCACTACTAGGTATGAGCAACTTTATTTGGAATTTTGACTGAGCCAAAGAAACATCTGGTGTTACTTCACATCCTGAAAATCTTCTCGATTGTTGAAAATATGAGACTCCCATAAATTCTTCAAAACGACAGTGTAAACTTAAATCGCAGATATTAACTTACGTGCACTTACTGTAAGGATGTTTGTGCTACAAAACTGCCATAATTTCTAACCATAAAAAACATTAGGAATTTGAATGATCCCGCTATAGTACCGATGAAATAATGACAGTGCTTAAAATTTATGGGACAGAAAAATATACCTTTAAGACTGAAATGGCCCACTGGTGGGCCATGGATGTCATTTGAATCTTGGTGCCAACTGAGATGCAAATCTCGAAATGAAAAATAAGCTCGTTTGAAACCTTTGAATGCTATTTTTTTCGATCTAAAAAACATTGTACATTGTGAAGGATGCAATTTAGACGTTCAAGTCAAAACGATACAAAAAATGCTTCCTACAGCTTAATCATATATAACATCTGATACTAAATGAACGATGCTCATCCTTCTCTAACACACACTTCATATATCTGAGATAGTCTGCTAGTTCAGGCACTTGTGTAAGGTCTGCCTTACGGTTGAAAGCTGCAGCATCCAAGTTTTGTTCCTAGAAAGAAAAGGTTTAATCTGTGCATTACAATATTTATTATCAGTTATAAAAAGAATCAATATGTACTAAACAGCTTACAAGTTCATCTAATAGCAAATCTACATCATCTTTTTCAGGAGCTTCAGGTTCTGGTAAGTCACGTTGAAGAGTGGCTTGTAACTGCAAAAAAAGCTTGCTTGAATATTTTACGCATAAAATGCTAACTTGAATTTAAAACTATTTACAACCTGCAATGCGGCAAAAAGCATAGCTTCCTCTTCAGTATGATCAAATTCTTCCAGAAGAATTGACCATTTCGCCTGTTCGTATAGCTGATTAATACGTACCGGATCGTACTATTAAAACCAAAATTTATTTCCGACATCAATTTTATAGACTTCAATAATTTTTAAATTTCATGTAATACAATATCTGTTTCTGAAAATATTCATCCAAAAAAATTATTTTAAATACTTTGGGATTGATATCGAAAAATGACATGTATTTGAATCGTAGCAGTATAACATCCCCTTCACATATTCCTTGTTCCATTAATGATCTAAAAGAAATTTGAGCTTTAATTACCAAAAACAACTTTCATTATATTACCAACCATGCTTGCGAAAAATATGCGTTTCAAAAATTCAGTTCTTTAGCACCCATAAAACACCCGCTCATCATATATTCTACAAAACAGAATTCATGTTTCGAAACACCTTGAAGAATCGAGCCAGCCTCGATTGAGGGCTGCCTTTTCTGCGTAATTTTGTGGCCTAAAAACACTCATCTCTTTGTTAGGAACAATTCGCGGTGAATGCACGAGAGCTACATCATACTGTTCATTTTCTAGCCCTTCACAAAACGAGACAGATGGCATGATAGGACTGCGACCGATTGAACCACTGTACTGCAAATTTATGCAAAGCTTAGAAATTTCATGTATTTATTGTAAAATAAAATAGCAGTGCAATAAAAATTGATGATATTAAAAACAGCTCGCATAGCGACAAAAAGTTTAATAAGAAAGAACTCACTGCACCGGGACCAGGACTGACGCCACGTGCAACTGTTCCTGCACGTGGAAGTGTTCCAAGTTCGCTTGCATTGAATATCTGACCACTAGTTGACATTGCTGGACTAGTACCACGACGAAGTGGTCGAGCTAAATTTGAAGCAGATGCACTAATTGGCTTCTGTCGTCGAAGAGTACCTGGACCGACTGATTCCTGAAATTTTTTAACAAAAAGTCGTTAACTTCTGTCAAACAGTGCAATGTGAATAAATATATTGTAGTATTACTTAGATGGAAGTCTGGATAAAATTTGCCCAATAAAGTTTACAAATTTTGCTTTAAAATACTGATTTTAACACTACTCATGAAGTGTTGAAAATATGTTAAAAAGTGATTTATTACTTGCCTCTAAATATGGTAGTTGCTGCGGACCACCCTGATCTAGTTCGAATCCAAGGCCTTTCCTCAAAAGTTCTGGCGGTATGAACCGCTTCAATGACAATTCCTCAGAATATCTTATGCCTAAAAATGAAATTGACTGTAAAATTTTCCATAAATTGAAGTAAGTCCCGCTGTCTATACCAAATAAAAAAATTCTTAAATCAATACACTCTGAGTCATTAAAAACCTAAATCTGATACTAAATTACAAGCAACTGATTAATACTACCTATTTCTCGGCAGAACTGCTGCGTAGCGCGGACAACATTTACGGAAAAATCCAGGCGCGCATCAATCATTTGTAAATCTGGCAGCTGCACTCTATAAGATAAAGCATCACTTTGATATTCAATTGCATGAACTGATGACAGATAATCACGCAAGAAAAGTTATTAGTAATGTATGCTTCATTCCAAATGAACGATATAAAAAGTTTTATGAATACGCAAAACTAATTCGAATTAGCGAAATTAAATTTAAATGTTATTACCAAATGATAATGAGATACGGATCTTTGTCTAATGAAACTAGTGTTTCAACTTATGTAATTTACTATTTAAATTTTGAATAGCAACTCAAAACAAACATAGCGAGTTTATGCTGAGGAGTGAATTCCAAATTAGAGTTAGCAGTCACACCGATTTGATCCAAAGTACTGCGTGTATGAGTAAGCCAGCGTCTTTTTTCAGGCCACCATAAAGCATGGTCACTCCAGTCTTTACTGACATCTACAAATTATGTGAAGTTGATTTCAGCAGTACATTCTACGGCAGAATGAAGTACTGATAAGCAACTGCTTCAAGTAATATTTTTTCATGCAATATTTATAAATATGTAAAAAATGTGAAAATCCATCTGTTTGACTCAGATTAGTGACATTTCAATCAGTTATCTTTTGAGCTACTCATCACTTCAAGCAGTATGAAGCATTGAAGTTAAAACAGTTTTAAATATTTAAATATTTAAATATATACAACAAAAAAAAGTCAAAATCGCTTCAAGTGCCTCAGTACTTACTTTAATAAAGTAATAAATAATATATGAAGGAGTATAGCAAGTAGTTTAACTCAATGTTACTAAAACCACCTTTGTTCGATCTTATTTAGTCTAATACAAAATCATAAAACTACCTATTTCATCCACCAATCTAAGCATTAATCCACCGATATGCAAAGAACCAGTGACATACAAATTGCGCTGAATATTCAAGTCAGTAACCATAACAGAAATCTGCCAACTGCCATCGCTAATGACACCATTTTCCACCAAATGTGTCATGTTTTTTTCGGAGCCTGAAATTATGCAAATATTATATAAAAGAATAATTAATAGAGCTATTCTATCGATCACAAGCTATCTCAACAATAATAACAATTTTTGGCCAGTAATTACTACAACAAATGCTCAATTACGTAGGACGGCATGCATGGGAGTAAGATAGATTTTTTGCGTAGTCTGAGTTAGAAACCATCCTTTCCCCCACTATATGCCTTTAACCCTCCCATTACACACATTGCTTCCTAACACAATTCATGCAAGCTACGATGAGTACACTATGTATACACACATCGTAGCTTACAACCAGAAGAGCATTGCACACACACGCTTACGTAAATAATTAATGTGAACAGAAGGTAATCAAAATGCATACAGTCATTACCAGAGAAGCACTACGTGTACGAACAATATATCCAAACCATTAAATCTTAGTTATTCACATATAACAAGTTATTCACAAGAACTCACGTATATGTATAGGATTATACACACTTACGAAGAGGAAGAGCGAGAAGAGGTGAGATGGTAAGTGGCAATGAATGGGTGAGGGGAGCAATCACCACTGCTAGCATTGATCATCGTAATAAATCTATTTACCTTCTTTCTCTCAATACTGCCATTCATTATCCCAATCAATCAATAATGATTAATAAATCACAGCCATAATAAACATATTATTAAAATGATCACTTACATCATTATCAGCAGATGCAAATGTTGAAAAATCTATACAATGTATTAGGTCATTTCATGATCACTATGCGTAATAAAAACAAGAGTAAACTGGAAAAATACCATAGGACCCAAACAATCTCAGTGCTAAGTTGTAGTAAATTCAAAGGAGTAAACTACAAGCTAAAGAAAGTGAAATTAAAAGAAGGTAGAACGGGTGATTAATGACTCGGAACTACCTTCATTGCTTACCACTTTTAGTGAATGTACCGCAATAATTCCGAGACTTGTGGCAAATTTTCCTCAATAACTTTCTGCAAAACTAGTCCTGTGCAGAATTTTCTCTCTAATAACGATCATAAATGACAATCAATGCCATTTAAGGCGTTGAATCATTCAACTATTTTCCATTTACATTCTCTGTATTTATTAAATATCCATCAAGAAAATACAGAATTACTACACTATACAGCGTCAAATGCATACTGACCACATACAAAGCTTCACATATTTCTTCAACATAAAATTAAACATCCTCGAATAAATGAACAGCTGAGACAATTTCGGTACCTATGGAATTAGAAGTTTCTGCAACAAAAATGATCAAACAACTCGTAAATTAACTGCTCCAGAGAAACTAGTCCACACTTTTTGAAATTAAGATTAGAATTCACTGATAAAATATATACGACAAACTACTTTCTACAATTTCTCTGTCTTGTAGTAACAAACTAATAATAATTTACAGAGTGTAAGAAAGCAATATCAAATTACGTTAAAGCACAAGACTGAGAAGTCAAACAGCAGAAAATATTACGGAATTCTTGTCAACACGGTACGTAGATTACACATTGAGCAAAAATAATAATGTTCGAGTGAATAGGTATTGAGAGCATATCAGTCAAGGATTGAAGATCGGAAACTGGTATTATCTAGTACCATTATCTAACAAAATAAGAACGATACTATATTGCCATTGGGTCCCGACACAGAGTGTACTCTCACACCCTCCATGGAGCTTTTTCCAACCGCAACTGTTTCTCTACTGTCTTCACTTATGATTCAGATACGGCTTCTTTCATTTTATGTTTCCTGAACACAGTCGTTCGACAACTCGGCATTCAATTTGCAGAGATGTTGGATGGGAAGCGTCAGGTTTTGCAATGTTCTGGTATTCGATTTATGAGATCCGTTTTGAGAGTACTGGTACAAGATCGCTTAGACTCAATGCATTTTTTGAAATTAATCAAAAGAGAAACAAAATTTGCCTTGATTCTATTGCTCTTTCGACCAATTTAAAAAAAAAAAACACCAGTGGTCTACCATCTCATTTTGCATTATATTAATTTAAAAGATTGAACGTCGGCCTGAAATTCTTGCAATTCCATAAGTTTTATTATTATACTGCACGGTAGTTCTCGCCAAATACATCAAATATTGCGACCAAGGTTTCCACTAATAACCAGAGTCACGAACAAAATCAAGATGAATTTCATTCCTCTTTAATTTGAGCTGAAAGCAACATATCTCCACAGGCTTATGACATATTACTTTCTCTCGATTCCGAATATGAAATTCACAGTTAGCTGATTCCCATTCCTGACAGGTTGAAACTTTTCCAAACGCATTTTTATTTCCTTTTGAAGCGCTGCATCACGGTAACCTAAGATAGGGTAACAACAGTGAACGTGTAAGCGACGAGCAGTCACATATTTGATCCAGTTCCCACCAACATCAATTACCTGCCTTATCGAATCCCCAATTTTATCGACTGAAACCTCATATTCCAAGAGTCAACTGGCTGCCTTATATGCGTGGGCTTGTTCAGTTTGTCCTAATAATGGAAGTCAATATTCAAAAAATTGTTGGCGTAGTTTCTCCTCCTCTGCATTTGACAAAACTTCTCGAACAAGTCCAATTTACTTCAACGCAGCCTGAGGGTGATCAGCGCGAAAAACTGAACTCCGCATCCAACATCTCCTAGCAATTTGAACGGTATTAGGTATCGATGATCGAGAAGTGCAACTCCATTTCTCTTTAGCAAAGATAATCGAGTGCTTCTTTTCGACATTTTTAACTAGTTTACTTTAATTTTCGCATACGAATAAGAATACAAAAACGACAACGTTAAGTATACACAATACAGTAGAACGGTGGAAAATTTACCTAAATGGTTAAAATTCTCAGCTTTGCCGAGTTGTCGAGTGGTTTACTCAGAGCGGTTCTGTTCGAAAAACATAAAATGTAAGGTAAATCATAATCCGCCATAACGAGCGACATGAAGTAATCGTGGTGAAGGTAAGCATCACTAGTAAGGGGGGGTGGAATCTCTAGTGACTGCAGTCGAGACCGAGAATATGCAAAGTATAACAAATTCGCTAATAAACTGTGGTCATATAAATATTTTTTCTACAATGAAAATTAAATACTTTTTAAGCAAAAGTTAAGAAATGAATATATAAAAGCGAAAACTGGAAAGCAACGAATAATAACGTAAGCTTAAAACGCCAACAACTTTCAACAATACGCCAAAATCTCAATATTCCTCGTCGAAGTTTTCAATCTACAAACATTAGTCCAAAAACAACATATTATAAAATATAATGATGTTAGATACAATGGAATGAAAATATTATTTTAAAAAGTTTAGCGAAGCTCAATTTTTTGCAGACTGAGATCTCCCCTCACAGCGATTCTTTCCACTTCAACCAGTTTACTGAATTCCCGGTAGTTGAAATTAGTAAAGTGACTGCTGTTTATCACTACCTGCAGCAACAAAATCAACGATATAACAACTGAACTATAAAGTTACCAAATACAGAATTATAATTTAGTATGCGAATATGTTCAGTTAAAAAAATGGTGACCTACAAAATACTTCGAATTATTCACAACCTATTAAACTTCCACTAAAAATGTATCCAGAGTTGAATGTAAAAACACGGTTTTGACTCACTATAAACTCTTTTCTTAATAACCGCATACCATTCTTTTTCTGCAACGGTCATCAAAAAAATTTGAAAATTTCATTTACTGTTTCCTTTACACAAACAGTGCAGTAAATTCAAGAACCACAATAGTCACATCCAAAGTCTGTCAGAAAAAAAGAACGAAATATTCATAAAAGTTAAACCATAAGACATTCAAAAGTTTCAAATTCTTCAAAGCATAAATTCATACACAAACTTACCGCAAGATATTTTTCACTAAAATTAAATTTCATGTCGAAAGTAATTCCTCGCATGAAAGGAAAATAGTACATTTCACGTTCTTCCTTTTGCCATTGTTTGCCTTTCGTACTATTGCGTACTACTGCCTCCTTTTCATCAAATAATTTCAAACATATAAAGTTATTGAAAGTTTTTGCAAAACGAATTTAAGAAATCATATTTACATACAGAAATCCTAAAGACATACAGTAATGGCAAATCTTCGAGGTTTTTCTATATTGAACAGTGGTTTAAATAATTTGAGAAAATCAAATTTTAAAATAAACCAGAATTGCAATGCAATAAAATTTTTTAAAATAATATTGAGGAATAAAATTTTGAATGACCAATTTGAAAAACTGGAAAACCTACAAAAAACTTTAATATTCAAAACACTAACTTTCTTGTTTCCTACAGAAAAATCAACTCGTAAGTGAAAAAAGTGTTCCACTGAAGTCAGCAAATCAATCGCAAAACATTCAGCATTCATAAGTGGAGTTGCGGTAATCAACAGCTGAACGTTCAATAAACTGTCTGTAAACAGCAATTCGAATGGTACTTTCTGAAAACTGCTTTCACCAAGACCGATCATGATTTGTTTTAAAATTATGATACATATAAGAGAGATAAATCATGTATGCTGAATTTTTTTAAAATTCCGTTGTAGTAAAACCTAAGCTTCATACTCTTCACCCTTGTTAAACAGTTCGCTGCTGAAAAAGATAGCATTTTAAAAGGTTATTACTCACAGGTTTCCGAATGATATCATTGATTGAAAACTTGTTAGCACCGTCGGAATTCCCTTGTTCTCGGACTTCAAAAATCTGAAAGATAAGAAATGTAAGACGAAAATTCAAACAAATTTGACTTAAATATGCATAAGTTACTTTCAAATAAATGAAAATAGAGTAGAAAAATGAATCAAAGAGCAAAATATTGTAAAGTGTCGGAAAGGGGAAACATGTGTAAAATTGAACAGTTTATCTAAACCTAATGAAAATATGGAACTCGGCTATGCATACAAAATCTAGATGATATCTTATTCTTTACTCATGCACAAAAAAGCTCCCTTCATTCAGTACCCAAACCGCAATCAAAAGTAAACAATATTTTTATATATGGAAAACTTTAAAATGACAAAATTTAGTTACAGGCTTGAGATGCAGCTTGAATTGTTGAAAACTGAGAACGGTTTTTAGACTGCTAACACTTATATTTACTGATTACAAGATGGCATAAATTTGACTGAAGCTTAAATCAAACATTTAATATTCAGCCAATAATGCCACGCTTACGAACTTGGTAGGCAAACAGTGAGCATAATGCTCTTCACATAATATTTAATCCATCAAAAACTGAGCTTAACATGAAAAAAAGCTTCAATATCTTTAAATCCCTAAAATCATAATTATGCCGAAGCAAAATGGTTTTATGAACGGCAAATATATACCGAGAATTCTAAAGAAAAATTATGCAAATGCTCGGTACTACATTGTTCTGATAAACCAAAAAAATAATTTATGAAGCAGAAAACCCTTTTTAATACTGAGTTGACATAAAACGAACTTGAAAAACATCTGTGATAAATATACTGCAGCATTCATACGTATCCTAAGATGGGTGAAGTATATTTTGAGTTAGACAAAAGGATATGTCCCAAAACCTACCAGGTAAATTAGATTACCTAGAAATTAGTTCAGATTAAGCTTTAAAAAAGTTAAAAGAGGGAGCAAGAAAAGTAAATGAGATTGCTGATGAGCAGAAGTAAATAAGTCAAAATCATAATATTAATAAATAAATAGTCATTATCGCAAAATCATAATATTAATAAATAAATAGTCATTATATCAAAGCTTGTAAAGAAAACTCAATTTTCGTGGGATAAAAAATATAATGGAGTGAGGTACTAATTTGCAAAAGTGAGAACAAACTATTTGAATTTTTACAAGAGAAAGCTGTTCACTTTTTTTCTTTTAAAACCAACCACTGAGAATCCTGAAAATTTTGTGCAACTTCGGCATTTTCTACAGTATTACACGATTAATAGAAAATTACGAGCAATGTGAAGAATTAAATTCAGAAAGTAAACCCGAACTAAATTATATTAAAATGACTCAAAAAAACAAAAACGAAATTCTCAAAAAAATACTAGCTTACATTTGGTCCTTCATATTCAATAGTACTTATACGTACGTTTCCTGCTATGTGAATCGTCTTTATTTCTGTTATTGGTATTCGATGCAAATAGTTACACAAATGTTGACCATCTAGAGAAATCTTTAAAAAAACATTTACTATAGATACACAAAAACTTTTTTAATTCCTTGATAAAGAGAAAAAATGTTCACTACTTTTATATTTATTTGATGTTTAAAAAACTATTTTTGAACCTCGTAATCTTGTTTTTTGGGATTTTAAAGAAGAATCTTTTTTGAAAAATGCCTCAGCAGATGAATATGAGAAATGGAGGATATGCAGCTTGCAACTGAAGATTGATTAATTAAAATACTCAAAGTTGCTAAAAACATATTTAAAAAATTAAAATTTCCTTCATGTATCAACATACATGAAAATAATTATTAAGAACGGATATGCGCAATGAGAATGGACATCCTTCTTTGAACGTATTTGCAACCCGTTCCTCCATACCCCACTTATTACCAATTAGGGAATTTAACACAATTTGTCGATCAGCACGACCAATAAACCTGAAGTGCCTCATCTATTGATCATCTTCACAACTTTCAATCAAATAACAATACTATTATTCCTCACTGAAAATTTTTTATACACAGAATGTATTTTTTAAACAGATCTTTGTTGAAAAGAAAATTAACGGACATTTGCATATTATAAATAATGTATGTTATATGTTACTATTTTCTGCAGGTTGAGTGATTTGAAAATCAAAGAATATTTTAATTTTAACCAATCGCAATCAATAAGAGAGCAAAAAAGTCCACGATGCACAAACACAGTGAAGCACAAAAATTACTAACCATAAACTGCAAGAATCAAAACGTGGATTAAAATGTAATGCCTTGTTGTCTCGATGATCGCCATTAATGAGCATACCGCAGCATAATTCTACAACAAAACGCTTCTGATTTGAATCATTCAATACAATTCCTTTGATAACTATACTCAGACCACAATAAAGTCCTTCTGGAAGCATTTCTATGTACGGCATCGTCTACAAATTCATTAAGATTTCAGTGCTTTCTTCAGATTCAAATTAAGAGAATATTAAAGAAATTTTTTAAGAAATACATACCGGATCAGCTATTATAACTGAAGATTTCAGCGGTGAAACAGAAGCCATTCTGTAACTTCTAAGAATCAACAATCAAGAACGCCAACACTACATTGAAGAATATTGAAAAGCAAAGGAGTCGTACAGGACGTTGATTCATCATCAGCTAGTTACTAATTTTAACAGGCCTTAAAAATGGTCTGTGAGAAGCTGACAATTTGATAATTTGATTTATAGCTGGGTAATTTGATTTTACAGTTTCCCGTCAAAATATTTTATTATTTCAGTTAAAAATTTAGTTCGATCGATCTACGTAGAGTACTTATTAGTGCTTTATTTCAATTACTTATGTTTTTTCTGTTTTTTCGTTATTTTTGGTTGTCTATATCGGATTAAATGCTATTTACTTTTTGATTTTCATTTGTTATTTCCAATTCGGCAGTTTGTTTCAGATTGGAAATCATATTTATTGAATACTTAGCGCTATAAATCTCATATTAAATTATTATTTTTTATTTATTTGTCAGGTTTTTTAGATGCTGTAGATTATTGTCTCACTTCAGAATCCTTTATCTAATTTATTTTTTTAGACGAATTACAAATGGTCAATAATTTGGGTTTGATGTTGAGGCAGTTACTGCAGAAAAGAGTTCCCGTAAACTATTGTTTGGATCGTTTCCTGGGTAACACTTCAAAAAGCTGCAAAAGTATCAGTGAATTATATCGTATTGGTAAGAATTTATATGTTTGAAAACTCTTATTTGATGCAAAAAACACGTTGACTTCTCACCGATCCTTTTATTACCACTAAAGAATAATTTTTCTTGAATTATAATAATTAAAAATAACTGACAAAAAAGCAGTAAAACAGTAACAAGTGATCTTTTTCTTTCTGTTCTATATTGATTACAAATTTTTTTTTTTGATTTTCAGGTATCGATAAAAAAGAAATGCAGAGACCTTTAGCTGAAGGCACAGTTGGTGGTTCGGAATCTGTGCCGGTGAATTTATCCAATTTTCATAGCCGTTTGCCAACGGTTGAAATATTCAAGCAACGTTTTGATGGCACACTTTTTGAAGAGCTCCCAATTGTGCATGTTAAAGCATCAAGAAATAATACGCTAATTACTGTGACCGATCATAAAGTTTATAATTTTATAGCTTAACTTTTATATTCTTCAAGATTTATTAAATGCAGCGATATAATGATCGAATTGATTAGGGCTCATTATTGGTGCATGCATCTAAAATCATTCCATGCTTTCTTGCTAGTTTTTATTGATTTTAAATTTATATTTGTTCTTAAACAGAAGCATCGAACTTTAGTATTTTTGCAACGGAATCAATTTGCAGTATAATATTATCACCTACACTTCTTGTCGCCTGGAAGGATTTAAAAATGCGAGAAAGAAGACTAATATTGCTGGACAAACAACGGGCGTTGCAGCTGGACAACGATTAATCAGGCGAGGAATCCGAACAGTTCGTGTCCTGGTTCGTTTCATCATTACTAATGCTATTTGTTTTAAGATTGTTATATATGACAAAATACTTATTTTCTTAATATAATTTTTGTCTACAGGTTCGAGGACTTGGACCAGGTCGAATGACTTCAATACAAGGTATGGCAACTGCAGGCGTTAAAATTATTTCTATAACTGAAAATTCGCCCCTTCCTGAATTAGGACCAAGACCGAAAAAAATTCCTAGGATTTGAAAGTTTTTACTTGTATATATATATATTCGTATATGTAGCGGTTACTGCAGATATTTTAAATCACATACATCAGATGGTACACATTTAACGCGTGAGCATTGTGCATTAATTAATGTACAAGACATGTTGGTTGCAGAGAGAAATAAAATAATGCTATGCCAGCAAATTAAATTGTGATTCTTTATTAACCGTAAGTAGTAGTCTGTGATTTCTTCTAGCGATAGCAGCACGGTGGCTATTTATTAAATGATGATTCAAATTCGTTGCAAAATTTCCTTATTCTTTCTTAAATGCAGCACTCATGGCAGTACTCACTCCTTTTAGGATCATTCAGGTATAGAAAGTACAATATTTTTTATAAATGCACTTACTAAGCATTAGTTTTACTCTTATTATTCAGTGAAATATGAGTTTTGCTCTTGCATCATTGTTATGGAGTTTTCGATAGCTTTCTTGTTAGCGGTCTTTTTAAATAATAGAAAGTATTCTACTCAAGTCTATTTCTGATGTTTCTTGTAGTTGTTATATCTGTTGAGAGAATTCTTTTTGAAGAAACCAAAGTTGTGTCTTGATTTGAATTTTAGAAGCATTTTGCTCATTTTCTAAAAAATTTTTCTGACTTCTGGTATATGCAAGTGCTTAGAGCTGTAATATATCAGTAAATCAAAGTATGTGGGCAATAAAGTATAAATGTATTCATGAAAATTGTCAGCAATATTAAGTCGACAAAAAATTTATGGGATTCGGCAAACTATTTGAAGTCTGGAATATATGAAATCAGCGGTTCTTGTACTTCCTGTAAATAAATTTTTAAAGAAAAATCAAATTCAACCAGAATACTACACTTTTCAAAGCTGTCTGTATTGCAAATCTTTATTGTGAATGAACAGCTATCACTTTAGAAAAATCACAGATGATGGGTTTTTAACTTTTCAGAGTTTTCGGCTGGCATACTTTTGGTTCACTTAGGAAGTTAGTATTTGATTCAAAATATTACAAGAGAATACTATTTGTTATCCATAAGCCTGTAGTTCTCTTAAGTGATGTAGTCAAAGATGGAAATTCTAGCACTTACAAGTTGTAAGTTAGACTGGTTTAATTAATATTGAAAAAATTTTCAAGTTAAACGTTCTTCAAGTGAAAAAGACTGAACAAAAGTACAACAGCATTTTTCACTCCTAGAAGGATAAGAATGATTCAGATATATCATTCGGCATCTGCATTTTCTAAACACTTTACGAAGAAAAAAGATATGACGAATAGAGTACTTAAAATCATATAATTACTAGAACTCAAAACGTGTGAAGCGTGCAAGATATAAGGACGTCGAGATGAGTTATTTACTAATTATAGCCAATTATTGAAAGTAAAAGTTTCTACATATCTAAACATCAGCTGAGTGAGTTACACCTTGCAAGTGAGCCAGCTTCCTTTCGAAACCAACAAATCTGTGAATCGAACTTACACCACGATTAAATACTAAAGACGAGACCAGCAGCGATTCAAGCTTACTTCTATGTAAACCTACACTAAGTTCAATTATCTACCGAATGGTTCCTTTTAACAACGAAAAAATCATGATATGATAACAACAATCAATAAAATAGTATTTATTTACATGAACTGAACTGAGATGCATCCTAGAATAATAATGAGCTGAATGGAAATCAGATCGCGAAATTAGGTCTCTTACTCTGACCTTACAAAATTGCGAATTAAATATTCACGAAGAAATGCAAATGAAAGTACATTTCAAAAAATGGCAAGTATGACCCGAAATATACATGTAAGAATTAGGCAGACAACAATATAAACAACACGCATTGACTTGCAAGTCCAACATCGTGACGCACCACAAAAACATTGAACTATAGGAACACCCTACCCAACAAATAAATCCAGTTTCGATGTATATAGCATTCACCATGTCAACCTCAGAGGATTATACTACTGCGCAAATATAGCAATCAGAATGCAGGAAGTCGTGAATAAATGCGAAACATCAACTCCAGATGATCCATCAAAAATAAAATCAGGGGTTGTGATAGTCCGTCGCGTTGCTGTAAAATATCTCTTTTTAATCAAAAAACTAAACAACCTACAAATAACTCGAAACATTCAAAGACTAAATAAGTCAGCATACCAAATACTACAAAATCAGATTCAAACTCCAAAAAAAATCATGCAAAGAGATAAAAAAGCTGCAGCGGAATGATTGAAAATGAAACACAATTTTCTGACTCTACCATAGCATTCGAAACAAAAACCCACTAAGAGATGAAGTCGATGACGTACTTGATGGTGTTTCTGTCATTTGCGATGTGGCACTGGTTGAAGATGCAGTTGAGGAAGTTGTTTCTGCAGTAGATGATGTTGTGGTTGACGGAGCAGAAGTTGTTGCGGTCGTTGTAGATAATGTTGTAGACGATGTCGATGTTGTTATGGAAGTAGGACTTGTTGAAGAAGTGGAAGTTGTCGTGGTTTCTGCACTAGACGATGTACTGGGCGACAGCGTTGAAGTTGTTCCGGTCGTTGTAGATGGATTTGTAGACGAGGTCGATGTTGTTATGGTAGTGAGAGTTGTTGT